TGCCCCAGCATTCTTCAGACCAAATGACATTACCCGTTAGAAATATGTTCCCCATGGCGTGATGAACGCTGTCTTTTCTACATCTTCCTCATCCATCAAGATCTGGTGATATCCCGCGTAGCAATCCACAAAAGACCCAATCTCATGCTTGGCACAATTATCGGTCAGAATGTGAATGTTCGACAATGGAAAATCATCATTTGGGCTTGCTTTGTTAAGATCACGATAATCAATATATACCCTAGTCTTACCATCCTTCTTTGGTACTAGCATAACATTAGCTAACCAGGTGGGATATCAAGTGACCCGAATGACCTTTGCCCCAAGCTGCTTTGTGATTTCTTCTTTGATCTTCATGCTCATGTCAGTCTTGAACTTTCTTAACTTTTGCTTGACATGAGGGAATGCTGGGCCGGTTGGCAATTTATGAACTACCAAATCAGTGCTCAAGCCCGGCATATCGTCATACGACTATGCAAAGACATCTTTGAACTCAAACAATGTTTTGATTATTTCCTCCTTAACTCGCGGTTCTAGATGCACACTTATCTTGGTTTCCCTAATATTATCCTGGTCCCCTAAATTAATTGCTTCAGTTTCACTCAAATTAGGCTTTGGTTTTTCTTCAAATTGTTTTATCTCTTTACTAATTTCCTCAAATGTTGCTTCTTCATCATATTCTAGTTCTTTGATTTTTATTTCAGAATTAGATTGACTTTTAAGACTTGGCTAAATATTTCTCATGCATGCCATATCATTGCAACCATCATAAAAAGAACTGTACAAAAGAAAAAAATAAAATAAAACACTATTAGGAATAACGGAAAACAAAAAATTGCATTTCATTGAAAATAAAAGGATAGAAAGGTTTGAACATCAAAACAAGCAAAAACTAAAAATCTGAATTACAACCCTGGAATAACCCAGATAACATAAAGGAAAACAAAGCAGACTACAAAAACTCTTTCCTAGTGGGGAGAGGAGTAGCTTCCCAATTGCTAAGCCTCACGTTTGGCCCAACGAGCTGCACATCTGCTTTACTAGAACCTTCACCAACTTCTACCATATTGACCTCATCGAACAGACTCTGGAACCTCTTGACCAACTCTTCATCAACATCGACCACAGGTTTTGGGATTGACGAGGTTGGAGGTTTTTTGGCCCCTGGCTTGACAAAAGACTTAGAGATGTGTGGGACAGGCTTGGGGAGTGACCATGCCTTCTATTTCAGGTTTTTAACCCTTTTCACGTCCTTCTCTGTGGGCATGAATCCCAAACCAAATGCACTAGGATTCCCACTATGGCGCACTGGATGCACAATACCCTGCAGAGATGAGCCCAGACCCTTGCCCGGCACAAAACCATTCTTCAACATTTCATTCGCTACCATGACAGACGTGGAGGATAGCTTAGGACCCGAAATGCATTTTCCTTCAGGAATCTTCTCAACAGACACTGTTTCGAAAGTTTGATAGACCCTAGGTCCCTTATCATCTTTAGCTTCAATAAACAGAAAAATATTGTGTTATTACAAGCAGATAAGTCCTCATCACCGTGCACAACTATTTCCTGCTGTCCCATTCGAACTTCACCATTTGGTAGAGAGAAGACAGGACTACATTAGCAGCATGAATCCAGGGCCTGCCCAACTATAGATTGTAGGAGACAACCACATCTAACACTTGGAATTCCATGGCGAACTCAACTGGACCTATCGACAATTCGAGCATTATATCTCCAACAGAATCTTTACCTCCTCCATCAAAGCCTCGAACACACACACTGTTCATGTGGATTCTTTCGGTGTCGATCTTCAATTTTTGCAGAGTAGACAGGGTGCAAATATTTGCACTAGAGACTAAAACCCTTGAGACAACAGAATCTTCACACTTCACCGTGAGATAAAGAGCTCGGTTGTGTTCTGTACCCTCCATAGGAAGTTCATCATCTGAGAAAGTGATCCTGTTTACTTCAAATATCTTGATAGCTATATTTTGCAAGTGGTTCATTGTGATTTTGTAAAGAACATGTGCCTCATTCAAAATCTTCATCAGGACCCTGCGATGTTCATCTGAATGTATCAGCAAAGACAAAAGAGAAATTTGAGCTGGTGTTTTCCTTAACTGCTCCACAATAGAATAATCCTGCACTTTCATCTTTTTCACGAACTCCTCAGTCGCTTCTTCGGTGACCGATTTCTTTACTGGCATTTGGCTATCCTTGAATGACTTGGCTTTTCTTAATTCTTTTGGGGTGACATCTCCCAGAACGAGTCAATCCTCCAATTTCATTAACTTCTTCCTCTATTTCTTTTCCTTTGTATGTCACTATCACTTATTTGTAATTCCATGGAACAACCTTGACATCAACCACTGGCAGTTGGGTCACTGGTTTAATGATGATAGAGGTGATAGGAGCCCCATTCACAACTATGACATGCTTACTTGGAAACCCTGGCACTACCACTTTTGAACTTTCTGGACTTGCCCCAATATCTTTCGAAGGCCCTTTCACGACCAACACCGGTGGCTTCAAATTGAGTGAGCTCAGCTTTTCTGTCGCCCCTTCAACTGTCAAGGGCATTGCTTTGGTAGAGTCTGGAGCTTTAACAAAATTACTTTCATTAGCCCGAATCATCATGACGGACTTAGAAGACTTCTTGGGATCTCCATCCTTGTGAACTATTTAAATCATATGCGTCTCTACATGGGCTGGCAAAGGGTTTTGGTTGATGTTCGGCGTGTCTGGGCTTTGGACTACAATTTGGTTTGTATCAATGAGCTCCTGGATTGCCCTTTTCAAATGTCAGCACTTCTCTATATCATGCCCTGAAGCATCAGAACAATAAGCACATCTTAGGGAATAATCGAGGTTCTTTGGACGGGGATTTGGTATCTTTGACTCAATCGGCCTCAAGACGTCCAACTGCCTTAACCTTTGAAACAGACTAGCATAGGACTCTCCAAGCGGGGTAAAAGTTTGTTTCCGTTGCTGCCTCTCTCTTCTATAATCCGACCTTGGTCGAAAATTTGAACCATGGGGGTTTTGGTAGGGTTGTGGAGGTAGATAGGTATTTTGTGGAGCTGGAGCATGCCATTGCGGGTAAAGATGGGGTTGAGCATATGATTGTGCATGGTGAACATGGTATTGGGGTGGCCTGGCTGAGTATTAGGGGTTTTGTGGGGGAAAGTAATGTTGGGGTGAATTATATGGAACTTGGGCGTAGGTTTGAGGTCAGGGTCGAGGATGGGTGTACTGATGAGGTGAACCCCTCTGGACATGCCATGGTCCAGAGACAACCATGGCGACAACGTCCTTCTTCTTCTTGCCTAGCAAACTTCTGGTACCACTCTGGATTGCCTGGGTGGTTGATTTTATGGCGGGGTAGCTCATGATCTTGCTCGACTTGAGCCCCTCTTCCACCATTTCTCCCATCTTTACCACATCATTAAAAGACTTATCAATGGTTGAAATCAAATGGCTATAGTAAGTAGGCTCCAAGGCTTGAAGAAAGTATTCAACCATCTCGTCTTCTTCCATCGGAGGATTGACTCGTGCAGCTTGCTCCCTCCACCGGAACCCATATTCTCGAAAGCTTTAACTGGGCCTCTTTTCCACCTTGGTCAAAGATAGGCGGTCTGGGACAATGTCTATATTGTACTGAAAGTGTCGGGCAAAGGCCTGAGCCATATTGTCCCATGTGTACCACCTGCTGGCGTTCTGGCAGGTGTACCATTCTAAAGTTGCCCCACTCAGGCTCTGGCTAAAGTATGCCATCAATAATTTGTCTTTTCCTCCGACGCCTCTCATTTTACTGCAATACCCTCTCCAATAAGCTACAGGATCCCCATGTCCGTCATACAAGTCAAACTTAATAAGCTACAGGATCCCCATGTCCGTCATACAAGTCAAACTTCGGCATCTTGAACCCGGCAGGCAGTTGGACATTGGGGAACAAACACAAATCCTTAAAGGCCACACTCACATGGTTTCCCAACCATTGCATATTTCTCAATGATTTTTCCAAACTCTTTACCTTCCTGAACATCTCCTTTTGCTCTGCGTTCTTGGGTGGTTTTTCAGTTTTAACATGAGGCTCAAGGCGGGGAGTGTAGGAGTAAGGATCTGGGATTTTGAAGGTGGGCTCTGGTGCATAGTATTGGGTATCTGGAACGGGGAATGCGGGCTCACTAGAGGATCGGTGGAGGGTAGCTTGCGGAGGGGGTACAAAAATAGGAGCAGATGTCGGAGCAGAGTATGAGGTTGGTTTGGCTGGTGGAGGATGGAGAATTTGGGCCGAAGTACCAGGGTAATTGTGGTAAGAGGTGAAGCCCGGTGCGTGTTGTGGGGAAAGATCAATGGTAATGGGCATTTGGGATTGGGAGAGTGGTGGAATGGAGGCAGGGTTTTCTGTGTAGTTGGTAGGGAACAAGGGTGGAGGGTGTCCCTTAATCCAGGCTTGATACATTTCCACCATTTGATGCTTCAACCTTCGGACCTCCTCTTGCAGTTCCGATTCCGACTCAACAATCTCTTTTGGCGGGTCTACAACTCCAGTGTCTGTTTCTTTGCTAGCCATGATGGTTTGATGCTTTGACCGGGTGTTGCATGAATGGCTTGCCAGGATGCCAACAAAATAACCACCTTCCTGAAATTAAATAAAAATAATAGAGCAAAACCACACAAAACCACCATGTTGGCGTTAGGGCATTTATCATATGATAATATCACGTTACGTGCAATACACCTAGCAACAATTAGCGGTTCTAAAATGGCTTTTAGGGTCGCATGGTCATATGGCATCATCCCAATTTGCTCATTTCAATCCTTTTGTCTCTTTCTTTTCTCCTTCTTTGCTGATAGGACTAAAATGACTTTTAGGGTCGCAGGGTCTTTTTTTCACCTCTTATCATTTCTAGCACCTCTTATCACCCGATGTAGGTTGACTACGTATCATGTCCCTTATGAATCAGACCAAGCGTAGTTCTAGAAAAGTGATGGAAAATAAAATAAAAATCTTGTTTTTTATTTAAAAAATTTCGGTTTACAAAATGGGAAGTACGAGAATGAAAGATTGACTGACTCAACTACATTACGACAGACTCTGACACGACCTTCAGTACTACTAGACAAGGCTAGAAAATAAAAGACGACATAAACAGACTCAAAACATGTGAATAATAATAGAAATCCTCCTCAATCAACTCCTGGATGTGATGCCCCCGGCTGGGATGGTCTTGGGTTGTCCGTCATGCTCAAACTCTGTAACATACCTCGTAAAGAAACACTGATGCTGGGTATAAAGACCCTGGCGTGTGCCCCCGCATCCTGAAGGTCGGCCCTAAACAAATACTGGCTATGTTGCTCCACGTTTGCTACCAATCCCGCTAACTAAGACTTTATCAACTCAAGCTTATCCTAAGGATCTTGGTCTAATACCTTCTCGAAATCATCTGTCTGAACTGCCCGACCCCTAAGTTGTGCTGGCAATGGGGTGCTGACCCCTGGTGGGATGGACTGTAACTAGATCAGGTACTCCCGAGTACACTAGGTCCTGCCAATGTCCTCTACTAATGTATTTTTGTTCATCCTCTTTGCATTGTTCCAGTATTGCACGTACTTGATTTCGCCATCCGCCTTTTTGCTAAAATTCATGATGTGCCTCCAAAGATTCAAAGTTGGAGGCTCCTCTTATCTCCTGCCCAACTGTCGCATTACCCTAATGGGAGTGTACGGCCTGACAGACTTAAGTCCTATCAGCATCAGGAAAGGCTGCATGCGGCATCCTACCAAGATCTCATCTAAAGGTAGCCAAAGGTAAGCCCACAAAACATTCCCTTTTATCCTCAAACCAAGGAACTCTATCCAAGCTGTGACGCCTACTTGGTATGTAAACTTAGGAGATTTCATCCTACGTTCAATGCATACTACCCGATCCCTCAAGTCACGCTTGATGGGACAAAGTAAGGAAGCGGTGTGTAAATGCTCCATCATCCACAATTGTAGCAAAAGGTTACTTCCCTCAAAATACCTGACACCTCCCCTAACCTCACTCAGGGCTCGATACAACTCTGCCAAGATCATCGATACAACGGTAACGGTTTTACGTTGATTCTCGTGAAATAGTGCCATTACCACTTACTGTAGACGAGTGCTAATGTGCCTCACATCTAATGGAAAAACCAATAATCCCAACAAAGCAAGGCTGAAAGCTTCGAGGCGACGTTTTTTCCACTTTGCCTTGGTTGTGCAGAACTCATCCCAAAAGACGTCAAAACTATCCTGTGGTCCAAATCTAGCAAACAAATAATCCAAGGATATCTAGGACTGCTCGAGGCATCTTAAATGATTGTTGTCTTTCGGGCTCAGGTCGCTGAGGAATCTTGTCCTAGAGTGGTCTTGGGGAAGTATCATGTCCTTGCCTATTTAGCTTAAACGAGTGAGAACAGACATTTATGCCAAGGTAAGAGTCATCTCACACTCTCCAAATCTGAAAATCAAATTTTGCGGATCCCAATAGGTCAGAATCGCCTCCACTAAATCTGGGCGAGGTGTGATATCAAGACGGGAAGTGAGGATGCCCAATTTCTGCATTAACTCATACTGCTCTAACAATGAAAATATTTTCCAACACTTGATCAACTTCCTAGGAATCTTTACTACCATCAGCACTTTGAAGAATCAGCGGGTCCATACCTGAATAAAGAGAACATGGTTAGCGACTCGGGACACTACGTGACACCACAAAATTTTCTAGTGGACAGATGCAAGACATGATTTGGCTATATTTAACAAAATGGCCTAAGTGGCTGAAAGTGGCTATTAGTGCAAACTGGACAAAGTTGACCCCTAATGCATGAAAAATACTCTATTTAAAGCTTACACGGCTCCAACATCCCAACAATCATGGCCTTAAAAAATTACTTTGCGGAAATGGCCTATTTTGCAAAATGGCTGACATGGCCAAATGTGGCTAGGGACGCGAACACGACAAGGATGGACCTTAAAGTGATATGGCACCGAGTTGTGGACTCAATATCCTAAGACATGGGAAATTGAACCATTTTTGCGAAAATAACCCCATTTTGCAAGAATGGTCGATGTGGCCAAAAGTGGCTAGACATGCAAATTTAACAGGAATGGACCTTATAATTGAGAGGACACTTTATTGTAGGCTCGGGGCTCTAATACAGGAGATAACAAACTACTTTGAGAAAATAATCCTATTTTGCAAAAACGGTCGATGTGGCCAAATATGGCTATGCATGCAAGATTTGTCTACGACCCCGAAAGCCAAGAACCTAAGACTTACTAGGAAGATCGGATCCTATGTGGGTTGCCTACGTATCCCGCCCCGGAAAACGAGAATCAGGTTCGCATAGTTCGGGAAGATTGGACATGGGAGAAAGCCTTTAAGAAAAATGCAACTAATTTGGAGAAACTATATTCTTTGTTTTTTGGAAAGGTGATGGAGAATGTAAATTTTTTTTGTATTTTCTTCTTTTTTTTTCTCTTTTTTTTTTATTTTTTTGGAAAATGATCCAAAATATTTTTGGATTTTTCATTTTCAATTTTTTTTTGGTTTTTCTTGAAAAAGTTGTGAAAGAAAAATATAATTGGGCCCGACTTGCTTCATTTTTCAACCTTCTTTCCAAAACATTGGTCCGCCAAATAACCTTTCTACCCTCATAGATGCAACATTTAGCACATAAGATGATTAAATGTCATTTTGGGCCACGAGCCCATTTTTGACATAATTTGGATAGGCCTTCTAGGACGGGACATGGTGCCTGGGACCGAGCCCTGCTAGGTTTAAATGACATGATGCAAATAAGAATGACCTAAAGGCTGACCTAAGTTTGGGGTTCACTAACAAGGCAATTCGGGGGAGCGTATGGTTGATGGTGGCTGCTCAAGCTTTCCACCCACTCCATACGTCCGACGGCCCCTCTCCTAAAATAAGGGTGACTCAACAAAGAGTTCGTGTACGCGACGCGTACTCCGAGACTTGTTGCAGAAAGAATTGACTGGTTAATGCATATGATGACAGTTATAAAGCAGTAACACATAAAGGAAAAACTGTAAACACATAAAACAACTAGCAAATAAAGCGACATAAACAAAAATAAAGCAAATAAAGAAAACATAAAAAACTTCAACCGAATATTCTAAAAAGGCAACAAAACCAAGTATCAGCTCGAACCTGCAACTCCCCAGCAGAGTCGCCAGAGCTGTCACACCCCCTTTTTTCAAACTCACTAACCCTCTTAAAAATAATAAAAGGATTTGTAAAGCTCAAAAGGGTTTTTAATTAAAAAGTGACAAAATTGTGTTCAAAAGGAAATAACTCAGAGTCGCCACCTGACATTTGTTTTGGTGTGCTAGGTCACCATTTTTTTTAAAAATGATTTTCCTTTTAAAACACTTTGGACTCCAAATTAAGTCTGCACCAGAGATTTGGGTAAGAGGGTTCATTTGACTCAGGGAGAAGGTGTTAGGCACTCCCAAGTCCCGTAACTAGTACGGTTGCATACTTGATCTAGTCGGCTTCTAAAATATTCAAGTTGAGGTAAAAATACATAAAATCAAAATAAACACACACAAGGCTTGAGTTCGTCTCCACCTAATAAAAGAAAAATAAAAATAGAAACAAAAATACTACGAGTTCTACTATCGGCCTCCAAATACAAATACTTGTGGGAATACCCCGGAATAAAATATATAAAATCCTTCGGGGCATTCCCCAGATAAATTTAACTAAGGGGGGACCTCTCGCCTCAGAAAGAAGCTAAAACACGAACATCCTAAAGGTTTGTCTACCCAAATGTGGCCGGCCTAAGCATGCTCCTAGAGGACATATAATAAGAGCAAAACAAATAAAACTAAAGAAATAAAAATTACTTTCATGCTCATTCCCTTTTAACATTTCATTTTTATTAGACTGAGCTCGACACCTAAAGCATGGAGACAAATCAATTGCTAATGGGCTTCGGCCTTTCCCAGTCCTGCTAACTCAACAGTGACTCAAAAAATTTCAACAAAAACCAAATGCGTAAACATTAACAATTAAGAACAAGAAATACAGAAAGAACTAATCAACTAAATCAAAAGAAAGAAAGGAAAAGAAAATGAATCCAAGTACGGCAGGAGCATTGACTAACCCATTCACACATCTAAACCTATTCCTTAAAATAACTCAGCGATATGCACATTAACTTCAATTATCGGCTATGTACGTTTATTAGGAAAAACTAGGGAAAGTAATTACATGGAAAGGCTTCATGTACCTAGCTTAATTAACTTAGACACTTTGATGTTGTATGAGCTTTCACAACAATTACCAGGTTAGTAACTACAGAGGTCTGTTTTTCACAGGCAAATTCAAACTTTTCAAAATGAAATACACTGCTGAGTCGACTCCGCTTGAGTTCTAGTTTCAGCGAGAAGGATTATCCCCAAGGGATTATCATCCCACAAAACTAATTAACCTCCCTGGAACATGCAGACGGAACCAAGATTATGGGCCTAAAACTAAAGAAGAGGCATATAAGAATTTTTCAACAGTCACTCTTCAATATCGAACATGGCAAAAGAAAATGAATTTCACTATGAGACATAACCAAATCATTTTACCATTCAAGTAATTGAATACTAAACCAAAGTTGGATGATTCAAGATTAACATAGACTTCTTAAATTCCACACATAATGGCATGCTCTAATGGATATATCCAGTTGAACTAATCAAGATAGTTGGATATAAACAGAATCACTAATTAACATTATTGTAAATCCAATTCGAACTCGAGATGCGCAAGAAATTCTTCAAACAACAGAAAATCAACGCAAATATACCATATTTTTCCTATCAATCATGGAGCTGGTCAGAAGTCCAGTCATTCACGTGAAAGTCGAGCAAGCACATACTTAAATGGTATTTCAGACACATAAAGAAATCAAACACCTTAAGTTATAATAACTCGATCACATTCTCCATTCACTAACACTCACTTAGGTAATTTAAACTTTTATATCTTAAACTCCAGACATACTATTCACACATACATAAATACAGCAAGAAAAGGTGTGAACCTGAATGAGAGCCTTCGATTAAACTCTGGCGCGAATATACAATGACAGAAGTCCAATGACAACTCGGTATTGTGCGAACAGAACGACTAGGCTGAATAGGAATCACGGACTCAACCTTGAATGGCGAACTCGACTGGAAAAATGAGCTTCAACTCAACAAAAACTCGAATGGCAATCTGTCATAGCGAGGAACTCAAACGGAGAAGGAACTTCAACTCAAATATGTTTTCGATCCAACTCCATCTTTGACACCAAAATTAAAAGGAGAAACTAATTTTTATTTTATTTTTTCGAAAACTGAACTCCTAATTAAACCAAAACAGAAAACATTTTTTTAATGATTTTTTTTTCTGGATTCTAGAATGGAGGAACGAAACTGAAAATCAAGAAGAATAAAAAATGAAGAATGAGAAGTAGAATTCTTTTCGGGAAACTCCAATTTTCCTAAACTCTTTTTTTCTCTATTCTTTCTGTCTAAAACTAAAAATCCTCTAAAGACCTCCTAATTTTCCTCCTCTTTTTCCCTTGGCCGAAAATCCTCCAAATGGGAGTATTTATATGAACTCTTGAAGGTTCTATTCTTCTCCTCCAAGAAATCTCCCACAATAATTTCGAAAAATTGGAAACTGCCAAAAATTTCATAAAAACAAAAAATCGAAAAAATGGAAGGCGTGGATGGGCTTTAACTCACATCCAACCGCTCCCATTTATCCGAGATTTGTTCAAGAAAACCAAAGCGCGTGAGGGAGAAGGCAGATTCGATTTGGGTGAAATCATTAGAGAATATTCTGAGTTTATTATTATTGCTACGTGGAGGAAGGAGAAGATGAGAGGGGGGGACCATGGGGGACCAGCTGAGGTGGACACCGGAAGAAATGATTTTTCCGACAGGTTTGGGGTAAGGGAACGACGGAAGTGGAACTGAGGGTGGGTGCTGGAGAGGGTAGGGATTTAGGGTTAGGTTTTGGTTATAATGGGGATTTTATATGTGGGTGGGAATTAATATGGGCCTTTGGATGAAATTAAATCAATGGCCAAGATTTAAAAAAAAGGTGGTGCGGNTTAGGGTTTGTGGGAAATTAGGTTTATATATGATGGGGTTGGAGAATAGGGGTCATTGGATTAGATGGAATGAATGGCTAGGATTTAAAAACGGGATGGGGCGAGTCAGACGGGTTATGGGCTGGTGCAGTTGGGTCGGCTGGGTTGGGCTACTTGGGCGGATTTGGGGGGTAATTTTGGGGCAATTGGGCTCAAATTTAATGGGTTCTAACTCTTTTAAGTCCAATAATTAGAAACTTGAACTTTTTTTTCTTAAAATATCAATTCTAATTAATTAAAGTAAAAAAATATATCATAATACGAAGGTATATATATTTTTATATATATATTATTACATTAAAAATAAAAGTAGAGAAAAATACGTAAAAATCGTAGTAAAAATAAAAATATATTGCTATAAAATACTAATGGCCTTAAGTTAAAATAAGAAAATATATAATGAAACTATTTTTTTGTATTTTTTATTTTTTGCGCCTTTAAACATGAATTTAAAAATACGTAAAATACTAATGGCCTTTATACATATAATTAAAATTAATAATAAAGTGAAATCATATAGAAATAAGATCAAGTAATATTCTAAAAATACTAGGACTATTAAGGATAATTCTATGACGCGGGTCAAAAATTACATGTCTACAAATATGAACCGATAACTTTAAATATTTGTGTTTTTGGGAACTAAATACCTAGCGATAATTTATTTTCTTTTTTCTTTTGGTTGGGTAGGGGNTATTAATTAAATATTTAAAAATTATATTAAAATGAGTAAGGAGTAAGGTTTATTACAAAATAAATGGCAATAATTCTGGGAAGTTAATGTGCACAGAAATGTGGAAAAAAAGATGTCCACTAAATTGTGGCTCTGCCATTCCAATTCCTCAACATTAAGATAATACATGAATCAGTGGCATACATATAATTTTTATAAGCGATATCGAAATTTAAAAAAGTGGACAAATGAATAACAATAAATTACTATAGTGAAGAGTAGTATCATTTTTCAAATATACACCCAATATTTTCATTCTTCTTATACATATCTAGGCAAAAAGTTTGACAAAACGGTATTTGGTGACACCATATAGAACAAGGTGTATCCGCTCCGGACAAAAATAGTCTGTGTATATTTTGAATAATCGATCTTTCATATTGCGTACAGAGTGAAGCTACTTCAATCGGCACTGTTAAAGGCATGTGGGACCGAAAAACAATTCGATGGACTAATAAAGACACATGTATCATTCTTTTTTATATTTCCACTTGAATATGTTAGTTGCTCGAATATATGCATTGATTATTGAATAGAGTAGAGCATTTTTTTTCCAGGGTGAGAAAAGAATATTTATCTACAAGCAAGAAACTTTTTAGCAAAATATTATTCGTCTTTTTACCCTTTAAAAAAAAATTATATTTGAAAAAATTGTAACTTAAGTTAGTTTCTAATTTTTAGAACTTGAAAATCAACTAAAATTATGATTATTAAGATTTTCTTATTGATTAGGTAGAAAATTCTAATATTTTAGGATTTTAAAATTGATTAAGATTTTTACTTTATACAAAATTCCTTGTTATAGCTCGTGCATATTAAAATGATATTGAACTCTAACATACTTTTTATTATTCAGAACGTTATAAGTTATGAGTTAGCAAAATATTGTTGGAGTCAAAATTTTGAAGACATAACGATCCAAAATTGATACTATATGATTTTTTTACTATTTGAAAATAAATTTTTTATTAGATAAAGTTATAATTATAGCTGAATATCTAAAAATAAGAATTTGAATTACCAAATACTACATTATTTCCTATAAAGATGAGAAAAAAATTAAGACTTTATATTAGCTAATTAGCAAGAGAATCCAATTCAATTATTTTCTAAATTTATCACATAAATGGTCAAGTTGGAAAAACTCTTAATGGAGGTAAATTTAATTACTATCTTTTTAAATGGGCACTTACGAGTACTTAATTAAATTCCTCTTGCGCATGCTTTTATATTCGTATTTACTTGTAGAAACATTACTAACAAACACAGCAAAGAAAAAAATGAATTCCTTCACACAAGGAGTATTACATTAGAGAAAGTGGTAAATGGTTATAAATAAAGAACAAGAAAAAGGAATATGACATAGATCACACATATGTTGAACGTTCGTAATTAGATCTGGTCAATATATCCTGTACAAGTAATGAAATTAAAGCTACCCCAACCAGCATTTTTATTGGAGCTGAATAATAGCTATTATTTTATTATTCATAAACAAGAAGTCATTCATGACTTGAATTTCTTTGTCATCCATAAAAAGTATGTAAGGCAAGAACATAAGAGAAACAAAGCAAATACTGAAATTAAAAAGAACCACTTATGCATAATAGAGATCTATCTTATTTCATCACTAAATGTAACATTTATGTGTACGTAGTTGAGCGACATCGGTAAAGAGTAGGATCCCAGAGCTCATATGTACAGCTACAGCAAATGAAACAATCACTGCAATCATCATCAGAACTACAAGGTCTCCCACAAGTGAAAATATCATTAAGTTGCGGAAGTAGTCTCCTTTTCAGTCCTGATAGATTAGGATCGACATCTCTTGCAGCCATAACTTGATTCTTGGAAAACCACATCGCATCAACTGAAAATATTCTCCATCATAATTACAAAATTATGTTATGATTTGTATAATACGGGGAAAAAAATACACTCAATCCACATATGCATAGAAACACAGCAACGTAACATTGACAATCATAATATATAATTTAGGTTTACAGTAAAGAGATAAAGATAGATGAATACTAACTAGTGATTGCCATGAGAAGAATAGTGAAGATCGAACCAAACTTAAGCCCCGCCATACTAGGTCAAATACTTCAAGCTTTATGAAAGTTTTTTGGTGAGCATCTTAGCTTGTTGCTCTTCAAAGGTCACAATTTTTAGTTTGCTCTTATGATGTTCAAGGCTTGTCTGAGTTGACCTTCCATCTAAACTATTTCTAAATTATTCTTGTCGTCTTACCCGCCTCGAAATGTGACCTAGTATTGTGGAGAAAACCCCTTAACCACTATGACAATGAAAGGCCCGTATTTTTAAACTATTGCAATCAATTATTCCTTTCCTCAATTATTTCTATTGCGTCTAAACTGTTGCATCTTGTCTAAACTATCGCAATCACTTTGAATCGGGAAAAAACTGAGTCTGAATATTGAAGATGACGTGTCATGACACGTGGACTGGTCAAAAGGTCAAAACGCAATGAATAGCCAAGAGGCACGGGAGATAACAGATAGGGGAAAAGAAAGCAACATAGGTGTGGACCGTTACTAAAATAGGTACGAGTCTCGTACCTATTCGAGTCGTTTAAAGATTAAAGATCAGAAGAAGTTGAAGATACGAATCTGATGACGTAAAAGAATCCAAATACAACATTAAATGTCAAATAGTTAGAGAATCTGAATTAAATAGAAATGATTATTTAACGTTTCTTTTAAATATCATTTATTGCTCATAATTGCCTCATTAAGACAAAGGCATTATATCTTCTCCTAGAATCAACTATAAAAGGGGAAAGACTCAACATCTGTAAGGACACGAAATGCGATTGAGATCTTACTGAAATACAAAACTATTTACTGCTTTACCATCATTCTCAAAAATATTTTATTTTCGTCTCATGATTATCAATAACCCGAATTTCTTTCTAGCTTTGACCAAAGACTCAGATTTTTGATTAAACAAATTGGTTCCATTACCGGAAATCTGATAATATTTTCTTTTAAGCTACATCTTGTCCATTGTTATCACCATGTCAAACAACAACACCAACAATAACAATGAAAACATTTTGGGAAACCCTGAAAATCAAATCCATCAAAATCAAGGAGATTTACATAACATTGAAGTGGTTCCCTCCCCTCAAAATTCACCACGTCAATCTCGTGAAGGCACTCCTGAATCTCGTGCTGATCAACAAGAACAATCTGAACACTTTGAAGGTGGTACAAATGAA